AATTTGAGCTGGAGATGCCTCGCTGCTTGTGGCGGAGGTTGGAGTGGGCACCAGAGAGTATATATGGGGGCTGTGTTTACATCCCTGGGGGGGGAGCAGGACGGGTAAACGCCTCAGACCGGTGACAGCTAAGTTTAAAGGCATTCTCACTTCACCAAAGGAAATGAATGGCGGCGCTAAATATACACAAAGTCTGAAACCAAACAGTGCAAATTCAGCGCTATTCTCAAAACCACTAATAAAAGCCATTTAACGAAAACACGCAGCTGTAGCTGTAAAGCCAGACCTGCGTGGGAAATAAGCCTGGTTTGTGTAATAAACACTGAGAGTAATACGAAAGGGGCTGTAATATAAGCAGCCCATCAAAACTTCAGAAAAATAACACACAGACTAGTGGAAAACAAGTGTGAACCATGAGGGCTCTTTTCTCTAGGGTTCCATTTCAGAATTCTAGAGCATTCTATGCTGGCTTGCTGACCCAGAGGCCTGAGGGTGTGGCCACTCTGCTGATGCCGCAGCAGCCGTCTTGCACATCGCTCTGAGAGGTACATCGCTGTTTTTCTAAAGCGCTTGCTGGCGGGTTCGAAAGTTTTAGCTGACTGTGTCGAAAAGCACACTTAACCCCTGTCAAAACTTCTGTGGGGGGGGGGTGTAATAAGCCTCTGCTAAACCCAGGATGAAAAATAACATAAAATAACATAAAAACTGAGGAGGAGGGGGCATTTTGCTTTGTCCCTACAAAAATGGGGTGCATTTATGAGGAAAAAAAAAACCTTTCAAATATTTTTTCATTACTTTCAGTGCAAGACCTGATGATTGAGTGTGAAAGAAAAGTTCAGTGCCATTAATTACTTCGTTCCCCTCATACGCAGGGCCGGTCGATCCCTTTTGTATTTTAAATCATCTCGGCTGTGCAGCTGCGTCAGCACCACAGACATATGCAGACAGCTTTTGTCTGAACCACTGCTTGATCGTTTGGCTGCACTGAGCTGTAATCAAATCATCATCCAAGGGCATAGTAGGCAGAGTGAATAATTAAAGCTACAGATTCTCACAGTGCTTTTCTTTCAATATAAAAAAAAGAAAAACTTCTAAGCAAAGATTTTACAGACCACGTTTCAGGAAACATTTAACAGCTGGTTATCATATGGGAACTGACAGGGTGATAACTGCTTTTGGAATTTAATACTTTCTAATTCCCCTGTCCTATCACATTTCTTTAAAGAGGAGGCACAAATTAGAATTCCATGAGTTAGCAAGTTATTTAGATGAAACACAATCAGAGTTGGCCTCCTTGGCTAGAAATGGTGGCAGCAGACCCTTTCATGTACATGTTTTGGCATACGACCCATGTGCATGGCAGAGCTTTTCGGGTTGAGAGCTTCAGATATTGTCTGCATTCATGCCACCCTCATACCGTAATAGACTCTTTGAACTATTCCCCTCGTAGGAGTGTTAATTTGGCTTGAGATGGCCTAACCCTTCCCTGAACACCCTGTGCTTCTCACAAACATTCTCTATAAACGAGAATAGCTTTAAAACAGTGTATTAATATTATATTAAAATCAACATTCCTTTGACCTTATTAACCACATGCTTGGTTGCCACATGCCACAGTCAACAAGATATAAAATGCTTCATACAAACAGATGTCTCCAGTAAGACCACACACTACACTCCATGACACTGTGCGACATATGTCCATTAAATGCATTCACTGAGCGCCAGTAGGTCTGGCAAGGAATGCTGGCCTTATTCTAATGTGAAGAATTTTGATACGACTCTGAACAACAATAACACTAGCAATGATGATCATAGTAAATAACAATAATAATAACAATGACAACAATGGCAATAATGGCGATAATGACAGCAATTAGAATAATAACAACCTCATCAAGTTAACACAATAACCTCACAGTCGACTGGGTGGCATCGTTTTCAGCATGCAGTCGGCCTGAATAATTCATAACTCAGCCCTGGAACAGACGTCAGCCCTGCTACCGCACGGTTTCTCAGAACTGCACAGTATCTCCTCCATTTCAGCATGAAAAATTCATCACAGCCAGCACGCTGCCACTTAAACACAAATGTCAGCCATATTTAGGTGTATCACACATCACCACGACTTAGGGTGCCGGTGCGAAATAGCATGGGGCCTCCACAGATCAAGAAGCCTGGGGCTCGGGTGAGTGGAGCAGCTGCATTACACTGAGTGAAACTGGGGAGGGTGCGAGAGGTCAGTCCCCTGTCACTTGAGCCTAGCATGTTGTTGTGGTGCCTGTGGTTGTGTGATCTGGAAACAATGGAATGGTATGGAAAGAGAATATGTCTGACCCCAAACATACTTTGGTTTTGTAAACAAAACTGCCATTTTAATCTCACTTAACCTTTTCTCTTACTAATTTAGCCTTAATTTAACCTTCCTTTGTCCAGCTAATTGCAATGCAGTGCTATATCTCATGGAGATGAGACTGAGGACATGGACTGAGGCCGAGAGAACAAATGCTCAGCCTTAAAAAGAATAGTATTCTTATATTCCACAACCCACTGAAAGTCAAACATCCTCTCAAACATTTCACCACAATGCCCTGTAGACCGAGCTCTGCAGGGCTGTGGCACTGACCAATAAATAACACGGAGAGGTTATTTTCCTCCGTCTGAAACGGAACATGAAATTCCAATCTAGTTAAAACCATGAACAGGGGAGTCACAACGAAAATACAGCTCTCCTTCTGCAAATGCTCTGGGTCAGCACTGGCTCAGAGGCCTGAGCTTATGATGACAGCTGTATCACCAGAGCAGAAAATAGTATGAAACAGCCGTAAAATACTCAGCTTCAGTCAGGTAAGCCTTGGTTAGGTTCTCAGGAAAACCTGTTCCTGTTAGTTTTCCTTTATATTTTTCAGAGTACAAACAGAATTGAGAGGAATGACTACACAGAATCTGAAAAAAAACCCCATTTTTTCCTACCATTGCTGCACTGTAAACTGGGAACTAGGGCAAGCAGTGAACAGCAGGGGCATGACCACAGTTTAGGGCTTAATGGCATAATCCAATGGCCAGGAGCTGCAGTAGCATTTCAGTCACAGAACGCAGGAGTCTGAAAAACTCATTCCCACCCCAGATTAACGGGCAAAGCTAACAGTCCCATTATTAGCTGAATATCCGCGTTTTGCCAACTGGAACCGCATGACTCGTCAACAACCAGAGCGTGTTTAAACCGTGCAGCACGGAGTCTGACAGAGCTGTGTATTTAAGTGATAAATGACAAAGAAAACAAATGGGATGTTCACAAACATAAATAACCACGTTAACTAAAAGCCTGTCCTCGCTCTGGGCCTGGATCTCATTAAAACCAGCTGGCTAATATCAGGTCCCTGAGCAGAATACACTAAATTCTACATTTGGTACAATGCTGTGACATCCAGTGGATTGTACAATGTGGATTCTGGAATACGGTGTATTGGCTGGAATGTGAAAGCTCTACGTGCTTGTGTAATTGTGTCTGTCCCGCTCATACAATAAGACATTTACAGTCCAGAGTCTTTGAAAACAGCAGCAGCGGAAGGAACATTACACTGCCAAGACATCTGACTCTCCAACATTCAGACTTGATACTATTTTCAATACAGCAACCCGCCCCCACCACCTTTTTTTTTCTTAAGTACAGGATTTCCCCCAGACACAAAGGTGGCCGCAAAGTGCCAAACAGATAAGAGTGGGTCGTGAGGCTCTGGGTTTGTTTCACTCCAGTTCCGATTCCTGACATTCTTACCAAGAGCCCCACACAAAACAAAGGAACAGTACAACACAGTGTGTGTGTGTGTGTGTGTGTGTGTGTGTGTGTGTGTGTGTTAGAGAGGCATAATTACAGGACTTTGGCTGAAAACCATTTATTCCATTGTAGTCAGTGGTATTTTCCACACATTCCCTGCTGTCACATACAACTTTCCCTGCAACAGGATCTCTCAGCTTTGCTTTCTTTGCCAGTTTCTGCAGTACTGCACCTCAATGCTCATGGACCAACCCACAGAACTACCACAGCATCACTTGTGCTGTACATTACTGCTATGGACACAATACGTGACAGTTCCTGCTATCCCTGCCGTTTTATAACATTGGAGTTAAAGCGACTTACAGTCAAAAGGAGTGGACTGCATTACTGCAGTGTGTTGTCACACCTCTGTGTGGAGTAAAACTGCTCCTGCCTGCAGTCTAACACGTGTCTACGCATGAAGCTATGACAGAGTGGCTCTCCACTGGGGACTTTGCTGGTTTGGCATTTTTCCTTACTTGCCAACACATGGGTCATAAATAGCAGTAAAAGACGTTTCCAGCAAAACAGATTTCTGAAACACAATCCAGAACGATCATCATCAATCCACTAAGAGCAGCATTGTGATTCTCGCTACCTGTCCATCGTCGGCTGTGATTTGTGGCTGTTAGAGAGGGTCCTTACCTGCCCATAGTCACTGGTGAAGAGCAGAGAGCCGTCCGCACAGGTGGTGACGGTGGAGGGGTGCAGCTGCTCCTTGTCTCGTACCCACACGCGGGCTCCCTGCAACAAACGAGGCAGGAAAACATGAGACGCCCGTTGTAAATCAGACAACCTTAACAATGGACAGCAGGACAGAATGAGTCAGTGCCTTCATTTACAAGAGGAGAGACTGAGTACAGCAGGGAAGATGGAAACAGTGGTTTAACATACAGGGGAGCATCTGGAGACGCTGCAAGTTATTAGCAGTAAATAGCCACAAATGGACAACCATGCAAAACTGACACTGAATTAACACCAGTAGGGGCCTCTGGAGGGAAAAGAATTTACATGAAAGTGTATTTCAGTGGGTGAGAGGACCAAAGAAATGGATATGTAATACATTACAGTCATTTAACAGAAATTCTTATCCAGACCAACTAACATAGGTTACATTTTTTTGCCCATTTACACAGCTGGATATTTAGTGAGGCAATAGTAGGTTATGTACGCAAGGGTACAACAGCAGTGACCCAGTGGGGAATCAAACCAGCAACCTTTTGGTCATAAGCCCTGCGCCTTACCACTATGCCACACTGCTGCAGACCCACATGGTATCAATATAAGTAGTCCACATTATCAGCCCTGAAGTATTTCTGGTCTGCGGTGACCATCTGTGGTGACCTGCGATGACTATCAAAGCAAGTCGGTTCTATGTCTGGAGGTGACATTTTAAGAGCCTGCCGTACACAGGCTACCACCCAATGGGCACATATAGGCAACAATGTGATTCTCATCAAGGCGGCGACTGCCATTTTCCTCCTTTTATAAAAAGCCCGTATTCAACAGCACAAAGATAAAATGCACAGAGACCTCTAACATTCAGAAGACAATAGAACCATTGAGAGCACAGCCCTGCTTGGCTTAAAAATAAATTTGCCCCCCACCTCCTGACCTACTGGGTTCAGCTCAGAAGTCCCACATGCAACAGAACATGACAGAACCCGACACAGAAGCATAGAGCTGCACCAAGGGATCTGGGGTCCGGATGATTACACTGTTGATAAACCCTTGAATCAACGCAATTTACCTTGGAGACTCCTGACTCTCATGCATACCTCACAACTGAGAACTTCGATCAAAAGCATTAGCAAACTGAATAAGTCTGAACCCACTAAATAAGTGAGTGAGTAAAGGCCCACTCTGGCAGACAGTCTATGGATGAGGGATGTACTCAGCACTACAGTCCATGGGTCTGAAATTCTAGGTTACTCGGGCATGAAGACGTGGTGTCCGTGTGCAGCCCGGTTCTGAAGGGGTTAACCACAGTGGTCACACCCATCGGGCGTGGTGCCTCAGCAGGGCGGCTCCCCCCCTCCCTCCCTCTCTCTGCCACATGGCAAAGGGAGCCCTCCCCTGCCCCCATATTACAGACAGTTATATCACAGTGAAGGAAAGCTGCCTTTTAACTGGGTTTAAACACAGGGTTTGTGTGTGTGTGTGTGTGTGTGTGTGAGAGAGAGTGAATGTGAGTGTGCATGTGTGTATACCAGCATGTCTGAGAGTGAGTGTATGTGTGTGTAAGTGTGCATGTGTCTGTAGGGCCTGAGTGTTTGTGTGTGTGTGTGTGTGTGTGTATACCTCTGTGTGTTTCTTTGTGTCTGAAACCAGAATCTGAACCTTCACACCAGATGTAAAAAAGGGAAGGAAGTCCTTCAAAGCTGTGCCACTCTGTGGTCATTCTGCTGTCATAGTGGAGAACAGAGCTATAAAACAAATGGGTTTCTCTACCCTGTCAACAGCAGTGAACATCACTTAACACATCTCTGCCCACCCACCTCCTCATTTTCAGACTGCTGTTCTGTCACCCTCTCTATATCTGAATCTTTCAAAAGGATCCTATAAATCGTTTATTACTTGAGAAACAAACTTACATATCTGATACACAACTGATACACAATACAATGTATAGAACTGTCAAATGTACCAGGACACCAGGAATAATCTGCATTGTTTTTTAAATACTGTCACCCTTGATGATTTGTTCTCTGTAGTCATTGTTGTAATGATAATTGCTCTAATTTTCCTGTCCATTTCACATCATCTCTGTTTCACCTTGCATTGTTTCTCTGTTCAGCCTGCGGTGACAGCTCCTTTGTGCGGAGTGCAACATCTCGCCGAGTTTGTTTGGCTGCTTGGTTGAAGCCATTGTCAGTAGGACGGAGGGGGAGGGGGGGGTCTCCTGTATTCGCACGGCTAGCAAGCCCATTGGGTGTCACCGAGCCTCACAGCACCTTCGTGAGGCGCAGTGTTCAATAATGCAGAGGCAATAACGGGGGAACGGGAGAGGAGGGATCACCCTCTGCGTGCTTGTGGGACGTGAGGCAAGACCGGGAACCGGGGCCTAGCTTTGTCTGCAGAGCGTGTCACATTTCCTACCCCCAACACCCCCTCTCTCCACGTGCTCGCTCAGGTGTATAATACCTTGCCACGCCTCCGTTCAGCTGGCCAGCGGAGTGTTGCCAGCCCGGCTGTTTGTCTAGCAGGAACATTAGAATGGAGGGATCAATAGGGCTCAGATTGGCAAGGAAACCCAATACAAGGTCAGAGCTCAAAGGTATCAATCCTCATTAACTATTGATAAGGTCGCTGCCTCGTGCAACGGGAAGACGCTGCCTCATGCATGCTGTAGCACGGGATATCAGGCAGGCCGGGCCAGACCTGCCTTTTTGAAATCGTATAACACGCTAAAACAATGACCAGAAAATAAATGCTGTAATGGCACCAAGTCTGATGACTTGCCGAGTCAAATTATCTTAGAGGTATGTTGGGGAGTTTGCGTGAATAGAACATGAGAACCACAATAGCAAGAGAGAATTGTTGTTCTAAGACTCCATTTTCAGTCTCTGATCCCATCCCTTCCCCCCACCACCCTGCTTCCTCTCACATTTATTCAGGACTCTAGCAGAGGGGGAAGTGTTAATATGGCATCCGTCTACCTGGGGATTGAAATGAATAGAAGCAAACAGGGAAGTGTGTATCAGTAAAAGGGGGGGTAAGAGGGGTGAGGCTGCCAGATAATGCCCCTTTCTCATGCCCTCTCTATCTCTCTCCCTCTCTCTCTGTTTCTCTCTCTCGCTCTCTCAATCTCTCTCTCTGTCTCTCTCTCTCCCCCTCTGTCTCTCTCTCTCTCTCTCTCTCTTGCTCCCTTGTTCTCTCTCTCCATTTCTCTCTGTCTCTCTCTGTCTCTTTATCTCTGTTTCACAGACAGGGCAGACAGGGTTGGTATTACACAATCTGCCCCACATTCACGTGGTAAGACGTACCGAGGTTCTCATCTATCAAAGAGCTTTGCTCAAATTACAATCATGTCAAAAAAAATCTGTTTTGAGCAAACATATTGTTTTTTTTTCCTCTCTCCTTGTCTGTTTCAGACAGTGAGGGACTGATCCTTTCTCTGCTGGCACTGAGGCTGGCGGCAGGTTGCTGTAAAGCAGAGATCTGCGCCAGGCCCGGGATGTCTCTGACGGGCACTGGACGAGCATGACTTCAAGACTCAAAAAGCAGCATAAAAGCCTTATCAAATCATCTGACAGAAGTGGTGCAGAGGTTTAATACTGGAAAAAAACAGTAGATTTGTGCTGCTCCGTTAGGTCGTTATGCAATTTGAAAAATAGGTATTTAGGCCTTGCGGTATGATGGCAGCTTGGGTGGCTGTCTTGATGGATTCAGATTCATTCTAATCTGGTTTCCAAGGCGATGGCCTGGCGTGTGACTGGAGGGTTTGTTTTAACATGCTAACATCCCACCCTGTGACGACCGCAGAAAGCATGTAGCGGGCGAGTTGAGGCAGACACAGGGGATTGACTTCACAGCTGAGGGAGAGAGAATGGAAGACTGTGAGGCAACTGCTGTCAGAAGTAACCCCGCTCTGGTGAGGACACCAAAGCATTGACCACACTGGTGAACAATAAGATTTATAAAATACACTGTGTTTCAGTGCCAGCTAATTCAGTGCATGTAAAACAGAAGGAGAAAAAGCAGTAGGGAGTTCAACACAGGTCAAGGCTCCTTCTTCAAATATTGAATGAGTGGAAGGGGTCAGCTAAGGGGAATATACCCTCTGGAAGTACTTCATATGAGTTGTCTAGAAATGCAACTAACCTGAACACAGTGAAAACACAGAGAAACAGCTCTTTGCTTCACACAGAGGCAGGTAGCTGGGACACATCCAGCAGAGGTAATGACATGCTCAGTGCTGGCGTAAAGAGCAAGTAATTCACACAAAAATCCTTCCTAAATGAACTCTACCAAAGAACAGAGGAGGAATGGATCGATACTGTCCAGGCACTGGGCCAATCAGGGGAGAGGACTCACACTTTTGGCTTTGTCTTTACTTTCTGTCTTATCTTTTTCCTCGCTTACAGACATTTTTTGACTTGTTTGTCAAGACATGACTGATGAGAAGTTCCTGGCAGTCTCCGTTATGCCCCCTGCCCTTTTTCCTGGCTGTATTGTGCTGCAGTGTTCAGACTGGTCTCGGTAATGAGCTGGAAACACAGTGCTATTGTGTGCCCGCTGTGACTGGTATTGGTATCAGACTGGCATTCTTACGGGAATGTTTCCTGTTTTCTTGTCTTTGAGGAAATCCCACATTGAAAAAAAAATGATACAGGCTACTACATGAAGCACGATTAATTTATTCATTTCATTCAGCAGCACTTCAATTCATTCAATTCATTTCATCACACATTTGCATATTGCCGTACAGAATAATCCTAGACTGTATCCATTTCTGCAAGTGTTCAGCAGTAGGAGGGGAAAAAAAGATCTCCCCTTTAACTGCTTTCATATTTCCTACAGTAGCTCGTGCCCTTTTGATCCCTCTGGACAGATGTGTGGTTAAAGGCCAGATGTGTTGAACGAGCATCAAGTTTGAACAGCTCCATGCTTTTACTGGAACGCAATCAGAGGTGAGCTGGAACATCACAGGGAATATGAAGCCTCTGTCCAAGCTGCTGGCAGTGTATCGGAACTAACAGTAGTCCGTAAGGCTGGGTGAGTGGAGCAAGCCTGGCACATGGCTGGAGATGAATGAGCAACATGCAGTGATATGTGGAAAACATGTTTAGTGGCCATATTGGGTGAGCCCTTGGGACCAAGTGTCACTCTAAAGTATTTTATACACATTTATCCACTAAGACAAGTAAATGCGCAAAATGTGGTCAAGGATTAACCATGGAAGACAAAAACAAGAAAGCAAGGAAAAAAAATTAATACTGTTCTGGTTTGAAAGCTTATTAATAAGAGGAAGAAGAAAGGAGGGGAGGAGGGGGGAGAGGGGGAAACAAAGATTCAGGAAGAGGATTTTCCAGCTGATCTGTATGCACAAAGCGTCCCTTCACACAGAGTCAGTCACCTTTGCACCCCGTTTCACCCCTCACCCTAAAACTCTGGGGCTGAAAGCAGTTGGATGTGAGTGTATATGCGTGTGTGTGTGTTTGTGTGTTCATGTAAATGACGAGGAGAGAGGGGTTTTCAAAAGGAGGGACCAGATGTGAGTCCCTGAAAGGGGGATGAATTGTTTTAGCAACAGATGGC